GGTATTGAAGTTGTGGACAATGCATCATCTAATGATAGTGATGATTTAGACAATGCAGTTAATTGTATGTTCTTGCATCAGCGTTGTGCATGTCATATTATCAATCTGATTGTTAAGGAGACCCTAACTGCTCTTAAGCCTTTGATTGAAAATTTTAGAATTGCAATATCTTTCTTAAACTCATCTAACCAGAGAATTGCTACATATAAAAGTTACTGCATTGCCACTGGTGTTAGGCCTAGAAAGTTTTAACTAGACATGAAAGTTAGGTGAAATTCTACATACCTAATGCTTAAGCATTTGTTTCCACGTAAGGTCTCATTCACTACTTTCATGCATGCTCAATATCCTAGGGTGAAGGTGGTCGGTTGCTTTTAAACTCGATGACCATTGAGCTATGGCAGAAAAAGTGCTTAAATTTCTTGAACTGTTTTATGATGCTACGGTTGCATTGTCTGGTGTGTACTATCCTACATCTCCATTCATGATTCATTATCTTATTAAGATTGCTATGCACCTAAAGAATTATGCTATATGTGTCTGGGGTGGATCATCGAGGAGCGGTGGAGGAAGTTAAAGCCTGAAATGGTGGAGATGCTGACCTGCATCAAAGATTGGGAGGTTCTGAAGCTCGGCTGCAACATGGTGGAGGATAAGGAGCTTGAAGAAGCATTTGAAGAACTTTATCTTGATTAGTTATCATTTATGTAACGGGATTATAATATTATGGACTATGGACTGGACTTTGATGAACTTTATAATTGGAGATGGGTTGTACTCTTTTTTTCTGTCTAGGGTTTCTCACAAGAGTGAGTTTTAACTAGACAGGTTTTTAATTAGACAATCATTGCACTAAAACTCTCAATAAAATGTTATTTTGTTATCTCTGCCTGTGTTTGAGACTTTGAGTTATTTTGTTATCTCAATTCAATGAATATATCTAAGTTGCTTGTCATTCTCATTTTTTTTGAAGTATGCTTGTGATTCTGAGTTGAATGAGGGGTTAGGCATATATCTTTGGCCGGCCGACGGCAACCTGCTTGATCTTACGCCGTGTCTGGTGTGTGCACGGCACGGCACGCCTAAGGGCTGTTAGTGCCGTGCCTGTGCCGGCACTAAGGCACGGTGGCACTACACAGCATGGCACGACTAACCTATCGTGCCGCGTAGTGCCGTGCCGTGCCTCACCGTACCCGTGCCCATGTCGTGCTGGGCGGCCCGTTTGGCCACCTATACTTATAATCCGTACTTTTCAGCTTGTTTTTTCAGCCGGAACAGTATTTCAGCTTGTTTTTTCAGCGAAACGAACGGGCCATAGTTGTTAGTGAAGTATGATTTTTTCCCGAAAGTGAGACCAATGCAAGAGAGTAGTGACGTATGGCTAAAAATTAATCTATTTATCGGTTATCTTGTTTAGATAGCCTAGCACTGAACTTTAGATGACAACTCTCCTATATTTAAAAAAAATACAATTCTCATTTTTTTATTAAGTCAAATAATTTAAAGTATGATCAAACCTATAAAAAATACTAGTAATATAAGTATTTTGTTTGATCAATAGAGAATATACTTCTATTAAGAGACATAAATATTGATACTGTTTTCTTCATGTTTATTTAATTTTTTTGGTGTAAAAAATCGACTTGACTCAAATTTAGCATATGTTTTTTTGGACGCCTGATTTTTGTACTCGAATGGCGCCGTACGTACCACTGATGGTGCACTTTTAATAATCACTTGATATCTGTCGTGTTTGGATCTGTTGCCACGTTACGCGCACTTCACTTGGATTGGATCCAGCGACGATGTTGCGCTTCCCGATTCCAACATGAAACTGGGATTTTGCACTGAATCGCATTGGACATGGTGGGTGTTGGCAAAAAACAAGGCACACCAGAACGAAGAGAGCATCACATCCACGGTATGGCCTTGACGCCTAGCCAGCTGCGAGAGTGAGACCAGCTTTTCAGCTAAGCTAAAGCTAGGTTCATGCAAACTTTACAAATGTCCTGATTCATACTACAGCATATCACGGGCTCCAGGATTCATGGAAATATAAAACCCCGTAATAAAGAAAATAAGCTCTCGAGATATGTTAAGCGAAACTTTTTTATTTTAACTAAATTTATATAAAAAATGTACAAAATTTATGACATCAAATATGCACTCTATAAAAATATATTTATGGTATATCCGTTGATACTAATCGCTACCAAAATGGTGAAATTCTTCTAGTGTTTTTAAGTAATAATAAAACACTATGACTAGTCCTAGCACATAAGAATCTCGAGGCATTTGATAGGAAAAATTTATACTAAATTTTGAATGTCAAAACACTAGGAGAACCCCACCTTACTAGGAGAAATCTAATATTCTGGTTGTGAATTTTGGTGACATAAAAATTGCCGTTCTTTTTTCTACAAAATCCGGCTCAGTTTAAAATAGTTTTGAGTTAAAACTACTATAAAAGTAGTTGCTTTATTTGAGAACAAAAGGAGACTTGTGCCATTGGCAGCAGGTACATCTAATTGCAATTAGTGCCACGCCACCGACACGAATCCGTCTAACTTAAGTTAAGAGACACCCATCTGAGTTGAAAGGATGGCTTACATTATTGTCGATCAGTCAATCACATTAAGATAGCATGTGCACGTTTGTGGAAAATGGTTGTGTGCTTATGCATTCCACATAATAGTGTTGATTCAGTCGTCTTCCGTGTTCACGGTTCAAGTGCCCAAGACTCATACCTCTCAACCTTGTACCACCCAAGTGGAAGTCAATTTCTCTTTGTTGGTTGTCAAAGTGCGCGCGCAATCAGGGGCGGATCCAGCAGTGGGGCGGGGGGGGGGTTAGAGGCGAGCCCCCTCACCCATACAGAATCAGTGTAAATTACTGTAGAGCCTCTATGAATTTTTAGGCAAAGTTCTATAGTGTAGGGGGCTGAGACTTAAGATCGAACAGCAGTGTTGTTCAGCCCCCTCTAAAATATTTCCTGGATCCGCCGCTACGCGCAATTAGCTCACATATGTAGGTATACAAAGGAGTATTACTCTAGGCATGATGAGAAAAAAAATCCCAATTAACCAGTCACAAAAAAAAATGTTTATTTTCCCAATAAAGCCCTCTCCTTAGCCACATTGGCCGCAAGATATATAATACCAAAACCATCATCATTAGGTTCAACAATGATGCACTTGATGCTGTTGTACCCACCCACCATTACATTAGGAGCCAAGAAAAAAAGGTTGAGAAAAAAGGGTAAAGGCCATACCCATATTCCCAAAAAGAAAAGGACTTGTCCAATAGCGACGACACGATTTCAAGCATGGGGTCCTTCATTATATTCGGACACGTACGTACGCTCAAAAGCTTTCGAATCTCACTTCTCTTTTAAATTTTTTTTTAAAAAAAAAATCAGGCCACTTCGAGGAAAGGAGGCCGTTCAAAGTTAGGGATGTTTGGTTCTTTAATCGTTTTTAAAATTTATGTCACATTAAATGTTTAGAGGCTAATAAGGAGCATTAAATATAAATTAATTATAAAACCAATTACATAGATGGAGGCTAATTTTCGAGACGAATTTTTTTAGCCTAATTAATCTATCATTAGCACATGTTTACTGTAGCACCACGTTGTCAAATCATGGACTAATTAGGCTTAAAAGATTCGTCTCGCAAATTAGTTGCAAGTTGTGCAATTAGTTTCGTAATTAGTCTATAATTAATACTTTATGCATGTGTCCAAACATTCGATGTGACAGTAATTTTATAAGGAGGGGAAGGAACCAAACACGCCCTTAGTTTTTTCGACATCACCTTAAAATCCATTCATTTCACGTGCCTTTTGGAATCACAAAGCGGTTAAGAGCGAGTATAATAACATGCTGTAAGCAGCCTAAATACTGAAGTGGAGAAGAGTAGAGAAGTGGGCTGTAAGATTACATCCGGCTTAGACACAAGAATCGAGATACTCTGTAAGAGAGACAAGTAGGCCCATGTATTAATGCTGAAAAGTTAACTACTATATGGGTGGGCTAAGAAGTGGGCTATAAGAATCCTTGCAGCCGGCTCTATTATTATCCTTGTTCTAAATATGTTGCTATAGATATGTGGTTATGGTGGACCATCATGATCACGAGCATGGTGGTGAGATAAAGCAGGTTTGAAAAGAACATTGTTAGCATCTACTAATGAATCTAATAATCCCACACCGAAAGAGTAGAATAAGAGAATAATGAATAATCCTCGAGAGGAAAAAGGGACAAGAATAACAGCGGCAGCAAAATCCAGTGAACAAAAACAGCTTCTCCCTCCATCCAAAAGAAAACTCAATTCTAAATTTAAACAAAGTCAATCTTTCTTTAGTTTTAAATTTAAACAAAGTCAATCTTTCTCAAGTTTAAGTAAATTCATTTAAAATGGTATCAATCTTTATGTCCTCATATAGGTTTACTAACAAAGTATATCTCATAAATAATGTAATGATATTTTTTTGATATTATAAATATTATACAATACTTTTTAATAAATTTGATCAAACATAAAATTGTTTGATTCATTGGAAAACCAGAATTATTACGTTATTTTTTGACAGAGAGGCCAGTTCAGCGGTTAGATTTTGGAGTCACGGCCGTCGGTGAACGAGCATCCATTTAGCGGTTACACTTACCGCGGACGATTCAGCATCATCAACAGAATATTAAGAAAACCAGAGATATTTCGGGCTCAAATTCTTTTCTTTTCTTTTTTGTTTAGAGAGAGAAGAAAAGAGAACGACAGAGAGTGTCGATAAAAAGGCGTAAAGCCGTCGCTAGTCTTTCCCCATTCCATGCTGCTGCCTCGGCTCGGCCCCGGCACCTACCTCCCCACTTCGCCGCCGGCGGGTGGAGTCGGGCCGGAGCAGCCGCTCTCCTCTGTTGCCATACCCCAAAAAAAAGAAAAAAAAAGAAAAGAAAAAAGAGTACCAAGCAAGCGAGCCGCCGGCAGCTCGGGCAGCTAGCCATGGGGCACGGCGTGAGCTGCGCCCGCACCGGCGACGAGCACGACTACTTCCGCGCGGCGCAGGTCGGGGACCTCGACGCCCTGGGCGCGCTCCTCGCCGCCGACCCCTCCCTCGCCCGCCGCGCCACGCTCTACGACCGCCTCTCCGCGCTCCACATCGCCGCCGCGAATGGCCGCTTCGAGGTCCTCCTCCTCTGCTCCCCGTCCATCCATGGCCTGGCCTCTGAGCCGGCTGCCAGCCAACCATCTCGCTCGTGCTGACGCTGCTGCTCTCCATCTCCTTCCTGCAGGTGCTGTCCATGATCTTGGATCACGGGGTGCCGCCGGACGCGGTGAATCGGCACAAGCAGGTGCGGCATCCCGTCCCATCGAAGCCTTTTTTTTTCCTCCCCTTTGCAGCTCGCAAGGATCTCTCCCGGGCTACCTGCTTCAAAATCTCCCTTCCTTTTTTTACCGCTTCCAATCAAATCAAAGGACAAAAATCTCATCTTTTCCCCCCTGCTTGCTTTGCTTGTTTTTCACTGTCCAGACTCCGCTGATGCTCGCGGCGATGCACGGCAAGATCGACTGCGTGCTCAAGCTCCTGCAGGCCGGCGCCAATGTGAGCAGAACCTCCCAACTCCTCGCTGCTCTGCTCCTGCAAGGAATCTCTTCTTCCTAGTGCGAGTGACTAGATAACTAACCGCCGGCGCTGTCCGATCTGTGTGTGTCAGATCCTGATGTTCGACTCGCTGCACGGGCGGTCCTGCCTGCACCACGCGTCCTACTTCGGCCACGTCGACTGCCTGCAGGCCATCCTCACGGCGGCGCGGACCACGCCGGTGGCCGACTCATGGTGAGACCTTCGCCTCCCCTCCCCCTCATCGTGTCCGCGTCCGATTCGGCTCCGCTGCCGGCGACTCACTTGCTGCTGTGGAAGCTTGGCAGGGGTTTCGCCCGGTTCGTCAACGTCAGGGACGACCACGGCGCCACGCCGCTGCACCTCGCCGCCAGGCAGGGCCGCCCCGGCTGCGTGCAGGTGCTGCTGGAGAACGGCGCCATTGTCTCCGCCCTCACCGGCTCCTACGGGTACGCTAATCTTGTCTTGTCTGCGTGGTGCGGTCGGTCTCCTCAAGATGCAGCTGCTCACCCATGTACTCGCCGTCGGTGCTGCAGGTTCCCCGGTAGCACATCGCTGCATCTGGCCGCTCGCAGCGGGAACCTGGATTGCATCCGGAAGCTGCTCGCCTGGGGCGCAGATCGTCTCCAGAGGGACTCAGCAGGGTGAGCACCACACCTCTGTCTCGATCTCTGTCTTTGTGCAGATCGTCTTATTTCAGTGTAGAGTAGAGATTAGATGTGGGTCTGACGAACAAAAACAAATATGGGTCCCACATTGAACACAACCGATCTGGTCTCAAGTGGAGTCAGTCATCAACCACTTGCTGGATTCTCATTTGCAAGTGGAGTCATCAACCACTTGCCCAATTCACGACACATTTGGAAAAATTCAACGAGAGGCCAGTTGCTGACCACGTAGTTCTCGAATTGCGCTTTTGCTGAAAGAATGGAAATGGCTTGCTCATATCCTTTCCACTAGATCTTACAGCGAATGGTTTCGGTCCCTGCAGGAGGATTCCTTATGCCGTTGCGCTGAAGCGCAACCACGAAGCGTGCGCGGCGCTGCTGAACCCTTCGTCAGCGGAGCCCATGGTGTGGCCTTCCCGCTCAAGTTCATCAGTGAGCTGGACCCGGAGGCGAAGGCTCTCCTGGAAGCGGCACTGATGGAAGCCAACAGGGAGAGGGAGAAGAAGATTCTGAAGGGCACAAAGTACTCTCCACCATCACCTTCCCTTGCGAGCATGAGAATGATGCCGATGCCATTGACGATGCGTCCTCGGAGGTATGCATGTTCAGTGCTTTCTGTTGGTGACAATTGTGAGAGTAGAAATAGAATCCCATGAACCATGATCATCATCTGGTAGTTCATTGCTTTGTGGTTGCTGGCAAATGAAACGAGGGGGACTGATGTGCATGCATCACCGTTCATCTGTGCTCACTCACTCACTTCACTCCACTCACAGGCGAGCGACGCAGAGCTGTGCTGCATCTGCTTCGACCAGGCGTGCACGATCGAGGTGCAGGACTGTGGGCACCAGATGTGCGCGCCGTGCACGCTGGCGCTGTGCTGCCACAGCAAGCCCAACCCGACGACGCTTACACTGTCATCGCCGGCCTGCCCCTTCTGCCGCGGCAGCATCTCGCGGCTGCTCGTGGCCAGGGCAAGCACCACGTCCATTGATGACGCGGACAAGGCTGCTGCTGCGGCGGCCTCCTCCCCGCAGCTTGTCCGGCGGCGGTCCCGGCGATCTCACAACCTCAGTGACGGCGGGAGCAGCAGCTTCAAGGGGCTGTCGTCTGCCGTGGCCGGGTCCTTCTCCAAGATCGGACGCGGATCGAGCCGGATGGCCGACAACGACAGCATGGACAAGCCCGAGCACGACCTGTGATCGGCATTGGATCCTGTGCATGTGGAGCAGAGCGCAGGCTGATCGGCCGGCTGGCTGGCTTGTGGTAGTGAAGCTGAAGCAGCCATTGCCACTGGCTTTCCAAGATGAGGACATCCAAGCAAGCGTGATCGTGGGTTTATATAGATATATACTAGGAGCTACTACTACTACTAAAATAAGTAGTGTAATGCACTCTCTTCTTCTCCCCATGTCCATGTCTGTCTATCTGTCTGTCCTATTTTTGGGCATGCCATTGCCAGGATTCACCTGGCCATTGCCGTATTCCATTGTCACCGGCTATAGATTCCATTCCTTCCTGTTCATGCAGCTGTGCTATGGTTGAAGTTGAACTTGAGCCACAGACATGTAGCACCATCGGTGTATGTAAACAGTCGCAGGCACAGCACAGTCGGGAACTGTGGCCGCCGGCGAGGTCGACTGGACTGGTGATCTGATTGTGAACGAGGCATTGCATGTTGGTGACGACAAGCTTGCTGGCTCTAAAGCTGGCCTGCCATGGCATGTGAGCTCTGCCGGAGTGCCGGCCTGTCTCCGATCCGGGCCTCCCATGCCCCATGTGATGTTGTAACGATGCGCTGCACTGCAATGGATGGATCAGGCTCGCCCGGTTTTGGCCTGGCCGTCTTGTTGGCTGCCACTGTCATTGTGTTAATGGCTGTTCCTGATCCTGAGTCCTGTGCCCTGTGCACCATGGGGGGCTCGGGAGGGCGAGCAGGGTGGTCCTCCGATCCCCGTCGCCGTCCTGGGTGGTGAATCTGCCAAGGATACGCCTGCTCTGCTCTGGGGCTCTGCTCTGCTGCCGGGAGGCCGGGAGGGACGGCAATGTACCGGGGCGCTCGCTCTAGCTGCTGCGGCCTGCGGGCTCACCGTCACCGATCCACAGGCAGGCAGGCAGCAGGCTCCGTGACCGGCCGGGCCATGGTCGTCCGGCGGTGGCAACTGTGGTGCCAATGGTCCGTGACTGATGCACGCAGGAGCGGTGGTCGTCACTCTGTCAGAGCAGCCGCAGTTATTACGCGCCGTACATACGCTGCTGTAGCTCTACTGTACGGTGGATGGATGCCGACGCGTTGCAGCACGCCAGTCAAACAAAACTGTAAGATTTGGGGTGTTGTAAAACAAAAATGTAAGATTTGGGGTTGGGACAGTCTTTTTTTTTCAAGGATTATCCTAGATAGGAATATTCCTCGTAAATTTGAGGACTAGACTAGATATGATCTTGTCGCTTTCTTAGAGCACGCTTGGAACACAGGATTTTTCCCCCTCTATGTTTTCCCGTAAAATTGAACCGATTCATATGAAATTCCTGGATTTCATACATGCCCTTAGGATGTGAACTCGAGCTTCGTTTCCTTGCCTCCCTCTCACGAGCATCTCCAATCCAGACATGTTTGGCGGCGCCACCGATGTCGACGATGCGGGAGGTGGATGGCGGAAGGTGGTAGGAAGAGGAGTGGAGCCATGGCTACCTATTGCACACGAATAAGACGCCCTTGGCATCCCCGGGAGAGCCCCGCCCTCAGCTTCTAGGCCCGCCGGATGAAAACGGAACGGAAATATTCCGAACCGAACCACATCGTTTTCTATATTTAATCCGATCGAATCCGCATTTTCTTGTCCGACTTTACCGTTTTCGCTTTTGCATTTCAGATGTTTCGTATTTCAAATGTAAAAGTATAAAACGGTTTAGACATTTTTCGACCGTTTTCTACTTTTCTACTTTTAATTTGAAATATTCCGAATTGAAAATTCGGTTTAAATCGAATTTGGCCAACTGCACAGGTCATACAGCCCAATTACAGGTTGTTCACCACGCAGCTGCGTTCTTTCTACTGGTGGCCAGCTGCCCTCTCTTATAGACAGCGTCCAGCCGCATCTCTTTTCACCTCACGAGATGGTGCTAAATGTTAGGAAACCAGCAGGATCTACACGAAAGCCCACCTGAGCCATAGCCCATCAAGCTCATCGGTTTAACCCCCACCTGCAAAGTCAATCATTTGATAGTCTTTGCATCAGCCGAATAAATCTTTGTTACTCAAAAGAAAAATCTGAATAAATCTTTCAAATAAAATACTACATCTATTCTAAAAAGATTAATAAAATTATTCTGACTCGGTTCGAGTTCATGTTTCTATAATATGCACTTGTTAATTATTATATGCACTTAAATTTGATCATGTATGCACTTAGTCATGCACTTGGTTTACGGATCGGTATTCCGTATTGAGTTTTCGTATATCGACTGTGTTCAACATAAATCCGCTCGAATTGGTTCGTTTTCGAAATTCTCGATAATTCGTAAGTTCGCGTTCGTTTTCGTGTCTGGTTTTACCGTTTTCACTTTCGTTTTCGTATTTCAAATGTAAAAGTAGAAAATAATTTAGGAGTTTTTCGACCGTTTCCGACCGTTTTCATCCTTATTGCCTAGCACGCTCTTCTTCTCTACGGTGTATGCGACTGATCGCCCTGTTTATTTGGCTTATAAGCCGTACTTTTTTAGCCAACGAACAATATTTTTCTCTCACAACAAATCAGTCAACAGTACTTTTAGTCATGGCTTATCAGCCATGCGAACAGGGCAAGGGCAGATATCTATAGTCCATAAACGATGGCTAAGTCCTTGTTTAGTTGGTCAAATTTTGGAAATTGGGCTACTGTAGCACTTTCGTTTTTATTTAGCAATTAGTGTTCAATTATGGACTAATTAGACTCAAAACGTTCGTCTCGCAATTTCCAACTAAACTGTGCAATTACGCCTTGTTTAGTTGGACCCCAAAGTCCAAAAAGTTGCTACAGTACCTGTCACATCGAATGTTTGCGGCCCGTGCATGGAGCATTAAATGTAGACGAAAATAAAAACTAATTGCACAGTTTGGTGGGAAATTGCGAGACGAATGTTTTGAGCCTAATTAGTCCATATTTGAATACTATTTGCCAAATAAAAACGAACGTGCTACAGTAGCCCCAAAATCCAAATTCACCCAACTAAACAAGGGCTTAGTTTTTTTTCGTCTACATTTAATGCTCCATGCACGTATCGCAAGATTCGATGTGATGACTACTGTAGCACTTTTTGGAAAAAAAAAAAAAATTGGAACTAAACAAGGCCTAATAGAGTTTATCCTGTTTCCTGTTGTCCTTTCTACCAAATACAAAACAGGAACGTTCGTGTCCCTTCAGCAAAACAGGCAAACGGGGACGTGAGACCATTCCGTCCCAGAAAACTAGGATTCACTCGTTCTCATTTCTCTTTGTCCCTAAACCAAACATAACCTTAAATTTAATTAAATATATGACAAAGGTATCAATATCTATAATTATAATACTGGACTAACTAATATTGTTGAGACGGAGGAAGTGAGTTAGAAGACTGGCTTGACTGCGTGCTAAGCCGACCATGGCGTGTGGAATTCTTGTGTGCAGTTCATACGCAGCCGAGCTTTGCGAGACTAAAAGACGACTGCAAGAGACACAAGGGGGAAAAAAGGCCGTCTGGTTTGACTAGGGCCATGCCTACACGGCGTTTTTGTCAAAGTGAACTATCCGGCTGTGTCATGGACGCGTTTCCAGTCCCAGAAGGCGTCATTGACCAAGGCCATGTTTAGATTACAAAAAATTTCAACCCGATGAATAGTAGTACTTTCGTTTTATTTGGTAAATATTATCTAATCGTGGACCAACTAAGCTCAAAAGATTTATCTCGTGATTTCTAACTAAACTGTGCAATTAGTTATTTTTTTTACCTATATTTAATACTCCATACAAACGACTAAAAATTGATGTGATGAAAAGAGAATAAAAAAACTTAGAATTTTAAGGGTATCTAAACAAGGCCCAAGTGCTGCTGCCCAGCCATGAGCAAGCCCCAGTGTGACGGAGGCTGGGCCTGGGGCAGATATTTTGCCAGCTTTTTTCTCTGCAGATAGAGGACGCGTCATCCTATGGTGGTCTATGCGTAGTAGGAGTAAACTCTAACCTAATCTATCTATCAGCCTAAACAAAATATCTAGGCATCGCACACTTCATCGTGCTGACGAAACTGCTAACCCAAAAGAACAGAGTATCACAGGCAGTATCTCATCTCAGGAGTATGCAAAATCCTATCCGGTTTCTCTCGATCAATGGTGTGATATCACGCTATTCTGCCTTCAAATTAAAGTTGATGGAACCGGTGCTTTGGGTTACAAACAAAGACCGGAGAAGTAAGTTTCGGTGACCAATCTTAATCCCCATTTGCACTTTGAAAAATCCACACTTTGCTCAGTCTACATGGAGTAGTTCAGTCTGTAAGAGCCTAGATTTTCCAAAATCCCAGGAGTTGGAGGCTTCTAGCTGGGTTTTTTTTTCCCCAAGAGAGGCATTGACTCAGATGGTGAAAACGAAATTGGTTTCACTTTTGTTGGAAGAAAACAAGAAGAAAGTTATGGGTACGATTGAAACGGAGAGAAACAGTCTTGGCATAAACTTTTTCCAACAAAAAATAAAAAGAAACGGTCTTGGGCATGCGCATATGCGTACCTAGAGGCTAGAGCTACAGGTTCTACAGAGCTGAGGAAGAACGTCACGTCCAAGTTGAGCATGCCAGCAGCATCAGCGTACTGGAGGGGGAAAATGAAATGCCACTATGCTCTGGGTGCGCCTTGATTCACAGCAGCGCCCACCTGAATGAATTCATTCATCCTTCAGCCCGATCAGGGTGGGCGTCACAGTCAGGCATCAGCTGAACCTGCCAGTAACATCATCAGTGCACAACGGTACAACATGCTTCTAATAAGTATAGATAAATGGCCATTACACAGGTAACACAGTTCTGATAGCTCTACAATTATACCATGTATACACATCAAGTATATAATTTTTGGGGTAACAAGTCAAAGAAAGAATAATAACAAGTTTATTTTATTTGCTAATTTTACAACAAAAATAAAATCATAGCAAAAGAGGAGGACAAGGCTTCATATCTTGAAAGGCTTTGCTAA